GTCCCATTCTGTTGGGAAAGGAAGAGTTGATAAGGGTGGACTCTCAGATTTTCCGAGAGGCTGATGCTCATAGTAGCCACCAGGTCCCAAAGGCAACAGTTACCCCAATATTGAATTCTCTAGCAGGCGCCTATTGTTTAAACTTAGGTAGGAGACCCTTTCAGAAGTGGAAAGATCAACATAAGGGTGGTAATGACTATGCTGGGCCTTCTAGTTCCTCAGGAAGCTAATGGACTCTAGCTTGTCAGCAATGGCCGTCTAGCCTGTGCGCAATAGCTGCCTGTAGTTTTGTTTGGCCTGTGAGTCTTCAGTGTTTTTATTGCTCAGGCCCGAGACCTTGCTTGATCTTTGCTTTACACATTTCCTGTTTGCAAACCACAAGAGACCCTGCTGTCTCCTGTTGGTATATTCATCCTCCCTGTTGTAATACTCGCACCGGCATGCGATGGGACCCTATCACTCACTCAGGGGTTTTTATTGCAAAAGACATTTATCAGACTTCCTCCTGAAGCGCTGTGAGAAACACACATGTAACCATCATCTGGCATCAGCTAGGCAGAAGAGACCGCAGCTTTTTTATCAGTTACAGCACAAAAATGATCAGGACGGATGCCGCAGTCAGAGATACGAGTCTGCTTGTGCCTAGAAAGTCTTAAAAGTCACAAAAATACAATGCCCAGCGTGGCCTAGTAATCTGGAGATATTGATGTAGGCCTTTCTCCAGGGTTTGTCTCTATTAAAACCACCAGACCAGTCTCAGTGTTGTAATAAAAGAGGCAGCCCCTCCATCTGTTTAGTCTGACTGATTTCCTTTCTTTAAGCACATAAAAGATGGAGCAACCAGGGCAAGAATGAGGGCTACCCCGGGTGTAGTGTTTTCATGTGGGGTGAGCTCACGTGGTTAGCTACGCCCATCTTATCACATGCATGGTCTACTTTTCATTTGACCTGTGGCCGGTGTTTTAATCTTCCTATGGTGCTAAGTGGTGGACCCAAAGATGTGCAGTGGCCAGTGCAGTGGCAGCTAGGAGTGGGATCACAGTAGCAGGAGATGATCGGCATGCACCAGGATGATGTGGGGACCAGTTTGGCATCTTCACCTTGGGTATTGGATGACCTTGTCCAGGCATTGGGAGGGGCAAAAAGATCTTTGCTCAAGAGAGCACCGGTTGGGAGCAATTCGCCATTGGTGGGTATCTATTCACTCTCAGGCCAGTAATGTTACTGCGGAATGGTCCCACCCAGTCACTACAGTAATTCCCACATTTCCTTCCACCAAGCTCTCACTGCTAGCTACCTGATACCTCTGTCCCTCTCCCTTCCACAGTTGTCCATCTTTAGGTCTGATGTTTAGATCTGTATAAATAACATACCTGCGTAGTTTTGGAAATAAATGACTATTTGAAGCTGAACTCCAGACAAATGGCCAAATACACTGACAAAATACATACAAGAGAGCTGTTTTATCTGCCAAAGGATTTCTATCCCTGTCCATCCAGTTATGAATTTACACAGCCCTGTCACACAACACAGCCAGTTGGTGGAAACCACTTACAGTGTTGTCCTCTCCCCACTTCCAGTCCTCTGATTGGCCCGTGAAGGAGCAGCAACAAACTGATGAAGCCAACCTACAATGTGCTCCCTCCTCCTAACAGCATGTTCCTTGTCAGCTCATTTACATGCAGCCCAGCTGATTAGCTCCCAGTCCTGGGAAGGTTACGAGATGCTGAAATCAAGTCAAATTCAGGTACTTATGTTGCAATTAAAAAATACATTTCATGTATTGAAAAACACAGGGCTGCATTCATTTGTAGCTGTAAGGGCCGGTGCAGACCTGAGCGATCCGGGACGGGCGTCCCAGGATCACGCGGCCGTGCACAATTGCAGACAGCGATTGCTGCATGGCCCCATTGATTTCAATGTTGTACATGTACCTGTTTTTATTTGGCGCTACTCGAGGCGCAGCTTTTTTAGCCGCGATTGCGCGGGCGGAATGACGGTGGGAAACTGCACGATCTGCCCGGCGCGACTGGGGTGATATTAGAAATTACTGGCACCCACAGCACGATTGTCTGTTATGGACGACTCCGTGATAGCGGGGCAATCCGGTCACGGATCGCCCAGGTGTGATATCTGCTTGAAGTGTGTTTTCAGTGAGCACGTATTTTATTTTCCAATGGTTTGCAGAAAAGATATGAGCTACAGAAGGAGGGCGTTGTTTTTAATAAATCAGCTGACTCATAGGCTTACATCGTGAGAAAGAGCAGTAAAGCGCAACCATAGTGCCGCACTACAGAGTGGGAAGCAGAGCCCGTGTGTGTCATGAGCAAATACAGATGTCCCCATCTACTGACATCATCACATATTATACAGAGAAACAAGATTTTATGAATACCTTTATTTACATTACGCTGGTATTTTACATGTAGGTCTAAAAAGAGGTTCAAAAGACTCTTTATTCCCTTTAACTACCACAAGTGTTTATAGTTCTTTTAACGTCATATAAATATCCCATGCATGCTATCCCGGAGTTCATCTTTAATAATGATTCAAGTACAGATTACAAAACCCCCGAGACAGAAGGATGCTTTGCAAAGATGAGTCACTACTGAATTCCGGAGTTACTTAGTGAAGACATTAAAAATAAGCCGGTGGATTCAGTCCGAGCTCCAACAGAAGAATATGTCATTATTCACTGTAAGCTTAGCACATTTCACTGCTGCATAATGAAATATGTTCAATGGATAGAAATGACAGCACAACATGTCTTGCTCTCAGTTGCTGGCGCTGGTAGAGTGTTAGAAGACTGTTAGGATTGCTTGAAGTATATCTGCAGAAAGTTTGGAGTTAAGTGATCCTCTTTATTGGCTGACTCAGGTTATTAAAGATGCAAGCCTTCCGACCCCTTGGATCCCTTTGTTGTGCTAAATCTTTAATCTTTAGTAAATAAAGGGGATCAGTTAGAGCAGGGGTGGCAAACTCAAATTCATCGGGGGCCGCATCAGCAGTATGGTTACCCTCAAAGGGCCGGTTGTATAGGACTATGCATCTACTCTTTATTATCATACATAGTTGCCTCTGCATTCAGTTGCTACTGGTTTTATAAACTGCGCGTTTATTCGCGTGGGGCTGGTTTTATTTTTTTCTGTTTTTATTTACTTTGTAAAAAATGTTCATTCATTTGTTTTATTATTTTTACTTAATCGCCTTTTTTTTAAACATTTTTATTTAGTTGCATTTTTAATTTCGAAGGGCTGCTGTACAGGCTATTCACTATAGCCCGTACAGCTCCCGAGGGTGGCCGAGCGACTCAGCCGAGCCGAAGGCATATGCTTTGGCTCGACTGAGCCGTAGGGACAGCTGCAATAGGGCGAACGGCCGGTCGAAGGACTGCCGAAGGCCTCACAAATGACAGCTGGGCGGACCCAGCCGTGATCTCACCAGTTGTAATGACAGATTAGCATCCCCAAATGACCTGGGGATGCTGAACTGTCATTAAACAATGACAACTGGGCGGAGCCGACCGTGACATCACGGCCAGCTCCGCCCAGTTATTCATTGGCCGTCAACTGCTAGAAGACTCTAGCAGGTGCCGGCCAATAGGAAACAGTTGGGCGGATTTTTAAAAAACATCTTTACTTTTTTTTTTAGATTTAATATTTATTGACATTTTTAAAATCTTTTTTTCAAACTTTTTTTTTTACTTTTTTCATTGATTTCCTATTCTGCTTGGTACCGAGCAGAATAGCTGAGCCGAATGCCTCTTGGCTATTCACTTACTGCCGATCGGCCCCTATGTGAATAGGGGCGAACGGTATCAAGTGAGCTGCCGGAGCTTCAGGTCAGCTGATCCAGATGTTGGAGCATGTCCGGCTGACCAAAGTGCAGCTGGAGGCAGCCGATGTTGGGCTGAAATCAGCCGTACTGAGCCATAGTGAACAGCCGACTGTTTATTAGCGATATCGCCAAGATCACTTGTATTCAGCTTGCAGGTCCATCTTACCCTTGCCCCCCGCCATGTACCCTTCTCCTCGCTGGCCGCCTCTATCCAGAGATCTTCAGGATGGAGAGCGGGGGAGCAGAGCAGAGAACATCCGTTCTCCGCTAGCTCCATGTAAACAGTGAGAGGGGAGATATGCACTTGCAGCCTTCCCATCTCAGTTGTCGCAGGGGTTCCAGCACAGTGTTGTGCTAGAACTCCTGTATTGGAAGTGACAAGTTCCCTAAAGAGAACCTGTCACCTCCAAATGCTATCACACAGGGGCTTGTTAGCTCCTGTATGATAGCAATGAAGTTAAGTTAAATTTTTTATATAAATTGATAAAAAAAATATTTAAATGCAACCTCTGACATATACATTTGATGCAAGTTATTTGCCAAAAGAGAATCACCTCAACTCTGCCAGGAGGGGCAAAACTGAACAGGATCGGAGGTATGTAGGAGTGATGTCTTAAGTTCTTTATTCTCAACCTGTAAAGCCAACTGCGCTTGTGGAAGAGCTATATAAATATATGGCAAATATAGTATTTGAAAATGTCATAACTTGCATCAAATCGATCAATGACTATTTCACCCTCCATGAAGCGTTTGCCCAAACTCTTGCAGTTACTTAAAGGGGTTGTCCATTGTCTCTGGCCACTGAAAGGGATCATATAGACATTGCCTGCAGCCACTTAATGGGTTTTCCATGGGATTGCCCCAGTGCAGTGTATTATACTAATTCCTGCCTATGCTGATGCATCGGTTCTAGGAGTTCAGTTGGCTCTCTCGGTGTCTCATCTACAAGAGTGGGTTGTGCCGACATGCATTCTCCTTTTGCTAGACTGACGTTGAGCCATTTATTAATTTTTTTCCCATGTGATATTTTATAGGTTTAGGGGTTGTTCTGTATAATTCATTGACCAGAGCCCTTGTCTTAGGCGGATCTTATGTACTTTGTATAGAAGGATTCTCTCGCTGACAATAATAATAACTCTCGTTTTATGATTTGCTATTTCTAGGGCACAGACAGAAGCTTGATGACTCTAAACCTAGTTTGTTCTCTGAGCGCCTCAGTGATTTAGGGCGCATCCCTCATCCCAGTATGAGAGTGGGTGTCCATACCCAGAGTCCTCGGCCCTCCCTGAACTCTGCACCAAGTCCTTATAATCCACAAGGACAGAGTCAGATTGCAGGTAAGGGGCAGACTTACGTTCTTTAATTTTTTCTTTTTATAGCCTCTTCCACTTAGAATACAGATTAGATGTTTTATGTATTGTTTAAAACGTAACTGCAGGCAGATCCACCCTTTAATCCAGTTATGTATTCATTTAAATAAAAAGACTATATGCACTTTTTTTTAAATACTGCCGGTGTAATTAACTAAAGTCTGTCTTCACATTAACTTCCCATAATCCCCTTTGCACCAGAAATCAGGCTGAGAATTGGAAGGGACTGTAAGCTCCACTGCACTGTACAGTGCGGTTATCCAAACATGTTTTGGGCATTGGGAGTTGGAAAGGGAAGTCTTTATGCAACATTCAGATGGGTGAGAACACAATGAAGTGATGACTGTCCTTAGACTAATATGCATGCAGGGGTTGGGGTTGTGACACAGCAAGAGGTGCAGGTTCTCATTATTATGTCACTCTCCTGGATATATCAACTGTATATTTAGAGAGTTTGCTCCCACCTTTCTCACACAGCAAAAACATGAACAACTCTATTTGATTTAGAAGACCTTTTTATCATATTTACATGTAGAGTTGTCCCTCTCAATTGGTTGTCCTTCTCAAGCCTAAAAATTGGGAGTTGGAAAGGAAACTCCCAATGTCCCTGGCCCTGGCAAAACACTGATGGCCGGACTCATCAACTGCCCTCTTATATCTATCAGCAGCTTCATGGTGAGAACTCTCTATTGGATCACCTGGTTACCCCACCCCCTCCCCCCCAACCCCCAATGGAACCAAATCACAATACAAATTTGTCAATTCTCCCTTGAGTGCAGCTATCACCTTTGCTAAGGTACCACTGCATACCTCCTAACCTTCTGAGAAGGGAAAGAGGGACACCTTCCAGCACAATGTATTTGGGCAACGGACACATTTCAACATTTCAACATTTCAACCCCCCCCAGTAGTGTGGACCATATAGAATGTATATACCAAAGTGATTGGTAAACTGCAGACTTGTCTTTTTTGTTTACCATTCCTTTACCATAATACTGGCTTTTCGAAATAGCAAACAAGATAATTGAGAGATAAGATGAAGGTTTTAGTGCAGAATAACACTTTTGGTAGTTAAATAGAAACTCTTCATAAATATCTGCACATCATACCAAAAAGAGGGACAACAGAGGAGGAAAATAGGACAGACAGATTTGATTTGGATTGGTTTGCATTGATCTATGCCATTGAGATACGGCCACCTATAGGACAAGCCAAACTATAACTATCCATAAAAATTTTCAAGGGAAAGATCCTTAACCGTGCACTGCTGGATTGCACAAGAGTACATATGCATGGCGGAAGGAGACCAGGAGGATGCCCCTAGCTTGTGTGTAAAAACAGCAGCAAGTGGACAGGGAAAAACATGTATGAGCAGCTATTCCTCTAAGATCAGTCTTCCAAGAGTTTTGGATGTTAGATGTACGATCGTTTCCGTGTGAGACAAGCCCGGGCCAAAATCATGGGTTGTCTCATATTTGTGAGCACTTTGACACAATAGCCTATATTGAGTTTCTTCTGTAGATCTGTCTATGAAATTGTGCAGACTGTAAAAGCCTTCCCTCTTTAGATGAATGTATCGCTTCACATTCTTGGAACTAGGTCAAAACCTTGTGAACCAGTCTTCAGCTGTGACTGTCAAAAGGTTTTCAATGTTCCTCAACTTATCAGCCGAGCATCATTAGATACAATCAGAGAACATCTTGTTATTTATTGTTTTTTATTCCAGTAAAGTAGCACCAACTATGTTTAATTTAAAGTAGATCGAAACCCCTATCTGGATGATATTTAGTTTACTAAAGTACTGTGTATCATCAATGATAAAGATAGTGATAACAGTGGACCATACCTGTGTATTATGTGTTGTGGTCTCCATCAAGGGTATGTGACAGGGTGACAATGCAGGAGCCCAGTTGAGAGGAAGTTGCCATCCTATAACAAGGACGTAGATGTCAGGGCACCAGATATATTCTTAATGAAAGATGCAGATTTACAAATATTAAAAACAACTTTTGCACTGCAAGGGTTTTTTTCCCCCTCCATCTCGGAGTTGTGCATTATAGTGTAATAAACACCAGCTTCCGTTACTTTAAAAATGGTCTTTACTACTGTCCAGTTCCAGTGCTTCTTCTAGCCTGCAAAAACTGTGGCCTGATCTGAAGATTGTTCTTGCCTTTGGAAGTAACAGACAAATGGTCATTTTTATCATGGTGTATGCCTGATCAGATTCAATTTCCTATGGCATCCCTTGCCCCCACTATATTACATTCACACATTTGTTGTGCTCCCAATGCAAACATATTCATTGGTTGTATTCAGCAAATGTGGTGGCTTTTAATTTCAGAATCAATATCTTGATATTTATTTTATCTTGACATCTAACAGTTGCATTACTCTTAGATAAATGATTATAATTAGACATGGATGAGCTGTGTCGTGTCAGTCATATTTTAAAGAGTTTTGGCAGAGAGTCAGGAAATAGTCTAATGAAGAGACTTCCCTGTTCACTTACAATAGCCTGGGAACTAGCAATTATTAGTTTTAAGGGTGTGGTGGTATTTCCAGAGAGCCTTGATTGTTTCATTAATAAACATATAGGCGGAATCATCCACCCACTGCCACTATTCATGATGCTCTACTGTTCAGAAGATCCGCTAGGCTAGATTCCAGCCTGTGCCAAGTTATGTGCTTTGTTTGTGCCAGTAGGATAGAAGGGCTTCTACATACTTGTTGTCATGTCTGCCAGCACTGAATTTAGAGTGTTAGCTTTGGAATATGAACTGGAGAATGGCTTTACTATGGTAGGATTCCATGTCAGAAGTTGAGTTTACCAATGGCAAGCCATTTCGTATTGATGATTGAGTCTACCATGGGCATGCTTCTGGCTTAGCGGTTGGTTCTTCTATTGGTAAGCTCCCATAGTTTTATCTGCCATACTAAAACCTCCATGTCAGAGGTTGGGTCTGCCATGAGCAAACTTCTTTGTCAGTGGTTGGGTCTGCCATAGGCAAGCTTCTATGTAAATAGTTGGGTCTGCCGTAGGCAAGCTTCTATGTAAATAGTTGGGTCTGCTATGAGCAAACTTCCATGTCAGTGGATTGATCTGCCATGAGCAAGTTTCCATATCAATGATCGGGTCTGCCATTAGCAATCTTCCATGTCAGTGGTTGGGTCTACCATATGCAAACTCCATGTCAGTGGTTGGGTCTGCCATAAGTAAGCTTCCATATCAGTGGTTGTGTCTACTATGGGAAAACGTCCATGTCAATAGTTGAATCTACATGGGCTAACTTCCATGCCAGTGGTCGGGTCACTAATGGACACGCTCTCATATCAGTGGTTAAGTCTACAATGGGCAAACCTCCATGCCAGCATTTGTGTCTGCCATTGACAAGCTCTCATGTCAGTGGTTGGGTCTACCATGCACGAGCTCTGACACTGAGTCTACCATGGACAAGCTTATCACATGTCAGTGAATCAGTGATTCTGTGTCAGTAGTAGGGTCTACCATGGAAAAACTATGGTCAGTGGTTCTGTGAACAATGGACAAGCTTGTATGCCAATGGCAGGGTCTACCATGGCAAGCCTCCCTGTGAGTGGTAGCGTGTGTGAACGCTTCTGTGTCGGTGGTTGTATCTAACATGAGCACCACATTGTAGTGATTTGTTTGAAAACCTCTGAAAGATGGTTGTGCAGTTGGGGTACCTCTATTTGATATTTGTTACATATTTGGTAAATTGTCATTGATGTGGCCATTGCTGTGCACTTACAGCCCCCTTGTGGATACAAGCATTCATATGAGATGTTATGTCATCTCTGGCAAATGAGGAGTTAATGTGCACTGTGTTGTTTTGTATCTTTGCATTTTTCTGTCGTTGCCTCGCTCAACTTGTCATCAGAGAGATAAGATCGTTAGCATATGCAGCACACAGGCACAAGAGCTCTTCTTCAAAGTCACCAGTCAACTTTTTTGGAACAAGATAACTTGCAGAGTCAATATTTGAAGCTTGGTGTATCGCAGTTTTGCAGCACTCACAGGAAGGAGCTGAGAAGCCGGGCGCCTTGTTGTTGTGCACAGGAAATTTAGCAGCATTCGTGTCTTGTGCCTGCGCCCTCTGAATTGTTTTTGTCACGAGCACCTGAATAACTACAGTGCACAACACGTGAATACTATTCACTGCGATCTCTAACGTTTAACTGTAGAAAAACCTCTGGCCTTTCTGTAGACATTTGAAGCAAAGCTAAAGTAAAAAGACAGCCCCAGAGAGAAGGATTGGAGGGGCTGCATGACTGGGGGGAGGAATAGTCCCTGTAAAAGGGGTTAAAAATAAAAGGGTTTAGCTGATCTTACCTGATTGGGGGTTGAGGTCAGATGTCCGGGAGGAGCCGCATGGGTTAGGACTGAAAGGGCTGGGGGCGTTGTTTCGACGGAGGAAGCAGGTAGTCTTGCCCGCCCTCACTTGAATTTTGTGGTTTCTGGTGGTTACAATGTCCTTTTTATGTCAGCTTGGCGGGTTAGGGGGTCTGAAAAAATCTGAGTCAGTTACACAAATGGGGGGCCATCAGCTGGTATGGGGTGCTTTCCGCTTTTGGTGTCAGTATGTCAGGGGGTCTAGCCACTTGGAACTTGTGAGCAGTAATTGTCCTCCAGCTGGTTGGGGTGTGGTTGGGGACATTAGGAAGTTTTTAGGAGAGGCCTTATTTGGGCTGTTGGGCACCCAAAAACCCCTTTTTGGATCCAACAGTCTTTAGGAGTATTTATTTGTATATTATTCTGTTTATTACTTTGGTTACTGGTAACGTTGGTTTGGTTAATAAAAGGGCTGCTGTTGCCATTTAAATCCATGTGGCTCAGTCTGTGTGATTATTGGAGCTTTTAACAGAGGGATGTCATGGACGAATCCATCAGTCAAGACATTTATAGTAAATACTTTATACGAATAATTTATCCACCTCTGTACCTCACACAACAGAGAAAAATAGATCTTCTGGCACTAACAAATTTTATTTTTTAGTAGGTTGTCATTTCATAATGTATTTTTTAAACTGTTACCGGGAGGGAGGGGGATCTTTAGGATACTTGTTTTGGTGACAACTGTCTAAGAAGAAATTCCCCTCACTTTGGAAATATTTCCTCTCATTTCCCCTTCTGTCTGCAGAACAGGAAGTGAACAGAAATCTCCCCAATGGGACACATGAAAAAAAACACCAAACTAATGGGTTTCCCTTCCCTATTGTATCCAAGAAAACGTTTTCTCTTTAGATATAATTTAAAGTAGAATTAAAATCTCTGTTTTTTTAAAATATATATCTACTGCTAGCATGCAGTAGATATGTGCAACCTGTGTCAGCGGCGCTCACTCCCGGCTGCAGAACTCAGCTTTCTGAACGGCCGTGCAGGAGGAAGTGTGTGCGGGCACATGCGCAGTCCATATCACCGGAGAAGAGAGACTCAATGTCATTGAATGCACGCAGCCGGGAGTGTGCACACCGGACAGACTCTGTGGGACACAGAAAACATAGGAGTCAGCGCTGGATAAGAGACTGGTACTAGTGCTGGAGGGACTGTTGGAAATGACTGTAAGGAGGAAGATTTTTGGATCAAGAGGTATCACATAAGGTAAGTACTTAAAGCAGCATTGGGGGTGGGGGATGGGGGTGGGATGGGACAAAGCTTTAATGGCACTTTAAGTTCCTAATTGATATTCATAGATTAAAGCTTTTGGGACATTATTGGATACACTACTTCTCTTGAGGTTTTGTGAGTGGTACTGTGTATGGCCACAGTCAGGTTGGAATGATTTCAATGACAACAGGCTTGTTCACAGCCTTGAAATAGTTAAAGAAGGTTTAGAATGTTGAAACATGCAGCTTCAAAAGCCAGCAATGGCAATTCCAGCAGTTCTGCAACCATTCCCTCAATTTCTGCTATGTCCAGCTACTATGGCACAATCATGTTCAGTTGTGGACTTGGACAACTGTCTGCTATAATTTGCATGCAACTGCAGCAACAAGTGACTCTCAGAGCCAGGGCCGGATTTACTCTCTCTGCTGCCCCAATGTCAGGTTCCTCAATGTGCCTCCCTGTATGCAGGCTGCATACAAGTGATCTCGGCGACATTGCCAAGATCACTTGTACAAAACAAGTGGCAGGTTCCCGGCTGTACATTTTAGCCCTGTTTGCCCAAAGCAGGGCTAAATGTAGAAAACAACTACCTGCCCGGCACCCAGAACTGCATGTCCCAGGTGTTGGGAGATAGGAATTCCACACCCCTGCTGCCCCTCTACTTCCTGCTGCCCTGAGGCCGGGCCTCGGTTGGCCTTGTGAGAAATCTGGCCTTGGTCAGAGCATCACAGGTAACGTCATTGTGACACATTTTAATAGACTAAATCCCAACTCCAGCGTGGAGTGGGTAAGAGTCAGAACTTCTTATTAATGCTGCCTGTGTCCACATTGGGGAAATGTTTCCCCACATGCTGTCCCACCCTGGCACACAAGTGTCACAAGGACAGGAAGTAAGGAAATCTCACCAATGGTGACTCAGCTGTAACACATGACTTAGGTTCTAACTCATCTACACCTTGCTAAAGAAGAAAGTGTTTTTGAAGGAGCTGGTCTTTAGTCATAGTCCATTTAGGCCACCTCAGATTCATCCTTGTAATTTGGGCTTTTCTGAAACAGTCAATGAAGATTTGAGTTGCCGGGTTTTTCCATTCTTAAAAGGGATTTGGTAATTTTTATGACACCGTCTGACTTTCCGATAAACCACATAAAAAAAAACAGATAGAACCAGGAACTAATATTGGTACTGCTGCCTTAAATAGGTTTGTCAGAAAAGCTCCATCATCCAATTTCAACATTAACCAGAAGAGCCGTGAGGAAAGCAGATCTCTGTCCAAGAGGAAAAGTATCTTTAATCCTTTCAACAAGTGTCCAAGAAATGTCATAGGTTGGATCTGATCCCGGTGCAGCCTCTAAACCTCCCTGTCTTCCGTGACTGTCCGGTAGTTTTTTTGGGTGCAGGTCAATGACTAAACCAGACCTCATTAGGCTGACCCATAAAAAGCCTGGACCGGCTCACTAATCTCTTGCACATGCTGGCTGTATAACACGGCTGTTTTAGTTTGGATTTCCTTTGGACAGAATTTTTTTTAGGAAATCAGAATGAAATAAAGCAAACAATATGACTTATGGAAATGACACAGATGTCCTCCCCGCCAAATCTGCAGCCGGGCCTCACCCTGCCAGATGGGGGGGAAAAAACAGGGCGAGAGGAAATTTCCGCTCATCACCCTAAACTCCACACTGCACGGCGATTATCCTTAAATCGGACCTGCATTCAGAAATACAATGAATGAATATCTCTCCACTATGCTCTTAGTGACGGAGGGGAGCAGATCATGTATTTTCAATAGGCACCTAGTCTGAGTTATTTTTTCTGTGTTTATGTTAAAATAATGTTTGATGTGACTTTCCTATTATTACAAGCTCGCCATTGTATTACATTATTTGTTGTTTTAGGTTAGAATTACTAGAATAGCTAGAATGACTTTGTCTTGAATGGTTAACAGCTGGTGAGATAAGATAGACAGGGAATGCTTTATGTGTAATGGGTCAGCTGACTCTAAGGCTTGTATTGTGAAGAGGAGTACTGCAAAGGAGGAAGCAGAGTCTGCATATGTAATAAGCTAGTATGGCTGCCCCTTTAAACATACACTATATTGCCAAAAGTATTGGGACACCCCTCCAAATCATTAGATTCAGGTGTTCCATGAAATTTCCTTGCTACTAAATATTCCGCTGTCACCTGTTAGTGGTATTATAACAAAGTGGAAGCAACTGGGAACAACAGCACGAAGTGGTAGGCCACGTAAAATGACAGAGCGGGGTCAGCGCATGCTGAAGCGCACAGTGCGCAGAAGGCGCCAACTGTCTGCAGAGTCAATAGCTACAGACCTCCAAACTTCGTGTGGCCTTCAGATTGGCACAACAACAGTGCGTAGAGAGCTTCATTGAATGGGTTTCCATAGCCGAGCAGCTGCATCCAAGCCTTACATCACCAAGTGCAATACAAAGCGTGGGATGCAGTGGTGTAAAGCACGCCGCCACTGGACTCTAGAGAGGTGGAGACGTGTTCTCTGGAGTGACCAATCACGCTTCTCTTGTTTTTCAAGGGTTGGGCTTGGCCCCTCAGTTCCAGTGAAGGGAACTCTTAAGGCTTCAGCATACCGAGACATTTTGGACAATTTCATGCTCCCAGCTTTGTGGGAACAGTTTGGGGTTGGCCCCTTCCTGTTCCAACATGACTGCACACCAGTGTACAAAGCAAGGTCCATAAAGACATGGATGAGCGAGTTTGGGGTGGAGGAACTTGACTGGCCTGCACAGAGTCCTGATCTCAATCCGATAGAACACCTTTGGGATGAATTAGAGCGGAGACTGCGAGCCCGGCCTTCTCCTCCAACATCAGTACCTGACCTCACAAATGGTCCAACATTCCCATTGACACACTCCTAAACCTTGTGGACGCCTTCCCAGAAGAGTTGAAGCTGTTATAGCGGAGCCAACTCAATACTGAACCCTACGGACTAAGACTGGGATGCCATTAAAGTTCATGTGTGTGTAAAGGCGTCCCAATACTTTTGTTAATATAGTGTTTATATACTTACTAACCATACATGCTTTTTAAGTGTAACTGCACCTAACTAGATCCCTGCCAGTCTTATACTTACATGTCCACATTCTGATATATATTGCCGACTAGACCACAGAGCTGCTTGTTAACAACTTCTCAGCTCACACATATCTTTTGCATTCCCATTAATTCCCATGAAACATCGAAGAGAAAAGAATAGGAGCTGGGAAGTGCATGTGCAGGCCTGGCTAGGAAGCTCTGTGATGTAGTCACCGATATCTTGCTGGAACATGGACAGGTGAGTAAAAGACTCTGGGCAAAGGGAGGACTACCTTACCACTACTTCATTTATATAACATTTGCATTGAGGAGCTCCATTGCTGATGACTGGTGACTCCATAGCATAGAAACAGTTCATGGAATGAAGACTCGGTAACAGTATATTTTCTATTTTTTTTTTCTTTTCTAAATTCAGATCCCAGGCAAGCGCAGTCATCCCCTCCGTGGTCCTACGACCAGTCCTACCCATCGTACCTGAGCCAGATGACCTCTCCGTCCATTCATTCCACAACACCTCTGTCCTCCAGCCGAGGGACGGGGCTCCCGGCTATCTCGGATGTGCCTAGACGCCTCTCAGGTAAGTGCCTACTGGCTCTACAGACATATTCCTCCTCCTTATCCGATAACGGTGTGTTTTTGAAGATCTAAATGTAAAAAATGTTGGTGGAAAAGTAAAACCTGTTTTCAAAGGTGACCAAATCCCTATAAAATACTAAGGCAGTCCTTGTGTATCAGCTTGTTACATGGTTGCTGATCCCTGAGTCCTCCGTTCTGAACAGCGAAACATGTTGACCGGTCCTTGAGCTCAGGATGTCCACGATGGATCATGTTTATGAGATGACATTCAGTCACTTGCTAAAATCTGATTGGTGTTACTGTTACATTATTGCTCTTTGTAATATGTACCCAAATCAAGGTCTATATGTATGTAACAGGGATGTCAAGCTGTCGGAGTCCCACCCCTTGGGTTCGAGGCAATCTGCTTGTCAATTGCTGTCCATAGGCTTGGGTTAGGGCAGGTGGGTCGGGGGTCTTGGAGGGGGAGATTGGAAAGGAGAGTGGCTCAGCAGATCTGTACTTACTGAGATCTGATGGGCACAGTTCCACTATTGTTTATGTCTGTGAAGGTTCTCATTTATCCAGGGCATGGTATATCTGTAAAAAATAAGTCAAGGCAAAATTCCCAGATAATTTTTTGTACAAGTCATTCATAATTGAGAAAGCTGGTTGGATGAGCAGTGAAACGTCTTCAAGAAAAATGCAGCAAGTCCAGTTGCCTTGAATTATTTACAGATATTCTATTGTTTACATCCAAGGCCACAGTACTCCCTCTGCTGGCTGCACCTGCACATTACAGCCCCATAGACTTCTATAGGTACGTCGCCCAGCCTGGAGACCGACGTGGCCAATGATCCCCCAGCCAACGATCTCTGACTTGGATGCCAATAAACAGTGGAGCAGTGGCCCTCGATACTTGGTAAGTACATATCTGCTGAGGGCGAGGTTGGGATCCTTTCAGGGTAGGGGGGCAAAAAGGATAAGTGCACTTATTTTTTAAGATAACTGGAAATTTGTACACAATACTCATTTGTTGCACCTGGAAGCATCATTCAATATTGTAAAGCACCGTGGCATGTGTAGGTGATACAAACTTTTAGGCAGGGATGATCAATCATTAGTGTTGAACAAAATCCGGCCATCCGCGTCTCATGTCTATGGCTGGCCGTATAGGCATTAAAAGCTTCAGGACACTGACAGGCCAACCTCACCGGTGCAGACTGAGACCTCCGCTTCTAATGTTTCCAAGCTGACATGATTGGCCAATAGGTGTGATCTGAAGAGACGCATTGTTCATTGATGGAGACATTGTTTTACACTCTCAATAACATTAGTGCGTGGGCGTCCTACAAGACAATTGTCACTGTCACACCCTGATGGCCCATGTTGGCTTTGCCGCGTTTCTTCAAGCCGACAAATAAATACTCCGCTCAGAAATAATGTTATTTTGTTGTCTGGAAACATCACACAGCTCAGCCCCGATGTGATAATCCTCATTACAAAAACATATCCTATTGTGACATGTATTGTTATTCCCGCTCGTTGGAATGTTCCTTATGTTAGTGATAAAATATTTACTTTATTCTCATGCTTTGCTTACAGCTATAAATATTACCGGTGGACAATAGTGAAGTGGAACTCTTCTTTTACACCTCATATTCCTGCTTTCCATGTGCAGATGCATAATTTGAGCGCCCCACTTCACCATAGAAGTCGCAGTTGCCATTTCTTTTTTCATCCTGTGCCTTTCCCTTTAATATAACGGAGACACTCTTGTGCATCTTTTCTGAACAAAGGTCCTTGTGCACCCTGGTGGTCATTAGTGGTATTGCACCTTTTTTTCCCCCCAGTGCCTGCCAATGCAACTGGTATGACACCAAGTACAACAAAAACCAAACTCATTTCCCTCTCGGCTCTGCCAGTTTTTATGCCACATTTAAAAGACCCGGAGTCACCCATGACTAATAAATCCGGTGCGTTTTGGTAACCATACTTGTGATGGTGCCATTTTGCATTCTGGAAGGCTGTATGTCCCCTTACATCAGAAACCCAAATAAGTAGCAGCTGAAATCACTAAATATAACAGCTCACCCTTTTTGGGGTGTGTGCCCAACGGGCTTTTGTTTGCGTCATATTAGCTTGCATTCCGATACAAGTCTATGGGAATGCAAAGCTTGAAGCAAGTCAGGTGCAGCTCAGAAGCAAGTCAGCGAATTCTAAATGATCTCAGTTCTCAGAAGCATCTCAAACCCATCGACACTGGATCAAAGACACCAACATAGGCCCTTATTCTGCTTTTTTTTGTGATTTGGAGAGCAGCCAGAATGTAGCCATGCTGACACCTTTACAGATTGCGTGCCCGTATCCATCCCAATTGAATTGCGTTTTGGTGACCGACTGCGCAGCTCATGCCAGAGGATGGCGAGGAAAACTTCCATTGCATCATGGGAATGCTGTTTGCTAGCAGTGACCTCTAATGCCCGTCTGAATACAGATTGAATGGACATTTGAGTTAGGCTCATATTGGGTTAATTGAAGGGCTCATTCACTCAGGTACAGTTGACCTGCGTTGATCTGCACAGACCAACGCAGGTCAACACCAGGACACCCAGAAAACAATTGTTCTCGGTGTGTCCTGTTCAGGGCCGTCCCTTCCTTATCCGCTGCCTGAGGTGGCCAGAAAGGGGGAGCAGTGCCTCCCGGCGGGAGGCTTGGATGGGTGCTGTTAGTTGGCCGTGCTGCCGCCCCCCCCCATCACATCTGCCACCTCAGGCTGCCATATTACTGGTCACATGACCCTGGTGGAGACTAAAAGTGGCAGTTTCAACACACATTGCACAGACATGGCCAAATGTTGTCACCAGCAGGTAACACCACCTGAGGCCTTGCAAGCCATGGCTGGAGTGCATGTAGACAGGAAGTGGCTGCAGGGGATAAGCAGCAAAGAGGCTGCAGGGGATCAGCAGCAAAGAGGCTGAAGAAGATCAGCAGCAATGAGCTGCAACAAAGCAAAAATATATTTTCTTAGAAATAACAATGGCAGCTGTCTATGATACACGCTGCTTAAGAATACTAAAAGCCATTAATTAATTGTTTCCATGTCCTATAAATGATGAAAGAAAGATAAAGATTGAAGTAATATATACCGAATGTCTAAATAACCTCTTTTTCCATTATCTGGCGATTAAAAACGCATTTTCCCTTTAACAGCGCTCGTCTCCCGCCGCATTCTCTCCCCTCAGCCTCCTTAAATCCCCCCTAATCCCGGATAACAAATGCTGATTCCCGGCGTCCCCCCAGCAGACGATCAATCACCTTCTCCCGACATCGCAGAATCCTAAACACGCCTTATCACAAACTACATTAAACACGCCGGTCCCCCTTCTCCCCCCTCACAGCCTTATTTATTTTGTTGGCGATTAACTTTTCAGCGTTCGATCAGAAATTATAAATGGCGTTCTGGAAGGGAACTGACCCGGGCGTGCTTGGAAGGAAAAAAAAAAAGCCTTAGGCCTAGGCCTATTGAAAACCCCCAGGTGTTTTGGAACTACAAGTCCCATGAGGCATTGCAAGACCCTGCCAACTGCTGGCATGGTGCCCATAGACAGAGGCATCATGGGATCTGTTGTTTCACCACAGCCAGAGGGCCATGGTTGCCTAGCTGCAGCCTAGAGGACTCCACAGATGCCAACGCTTGAGTGACAGGTGGTGACCAATCCGCCATCGGATATTTACGCCCCCTGTGTTTTTTTTTCCGCCCTTCTGACGGGGCAAGGATTGGCTTGTCATCTGTCCCTGTATGAGGGCCCTCTGGCTGTTGTCGAACTACAAGTCCCATGAGGCATTGCAAGACCCGCCAACTGCGGGCATGGTGCCCATAGACAGAGGCATCATGGGATTTGTTGTTTCACCACAGCCAGAGGGCCGAGGTTGCCTAGCTGCGGCCTGGAGGACTCCACAGACGTCAATGCTTGAGTGACAGGTGGCTATCGGCTATTTACAGGGGTTTTTTGGGGCCTTCTGGTGGGGCGAGGGTTGTCGTCTGTCCCCATATGAGGGAGTCTTATCTCGAGGCCCTGACCACATCTGAAGCCTCTCGGCTCATTATAAATTTCATGGCGGCAGATTTGCTGAAAGTGTTTCCATATGTTTTTCTCCTAATATATCTCATCCTTTTTTTTTCCGCTGTCTTTTTCTCTGAGCGGAATACAGACTCACGCACACACGCTGGCTGGAAATGACTCCAGGATGTGACAGGGAGAGTCACATGGTTTCTGTGGCAACGTGGGTGGCCTCTCGGAGCGATCCAGCTGCCTCGGGACGGCCTTTTGTTCTACAGTAGATTTGGTTTCAAAGTGAAAGACCCCCCAGACCTCCCCTCTTCATATTTTTTGCTTTCATAGTGGCTAATCAATCTGTCGGGAAGGGGAGGGAGTTCCGTCTAATGAGCCTGTCCCGTTTGAAGAGGGCCGCGTTGTGAGGGGAAGGGACGCCAAGCTTCATTTTACGCAGCGGGTTTTTTTTTTGCGTCCTGCTGAAATTTGTAAAAGGTCACAATTCTTCCGGAGCAATTAGAGCCGAACTCCGAGCACAAATATTTTCATTTAAATATATTCCTCCATAGCCACAAAAGATAGGAATCTGCTTTGTGTGCACCGATTGCCTGCGCAAATCCAGGTGTCACTATGTAAAAGTAGCGGTGACATCATCATTGTGCTGTACATAGACTGCGCAGAGAGCAGAGCTGTGGGAGGGGCCTGGCAGGTTCCACCCAATACTAGCTTCCTGCAGAAAACTACAGGGGCGGCGGAGACAAGACCAGTCACTCTGCACAAGGAGAGAGAGCAGCAGTGAGCAGTCTTTATTACAGGAGGGGGCGGAGACCAGACCAGTAACCCTGCACCAGGAGAGAGAGAGCAGCAGTGAGCAGTCTTTATTACATGAGGCACCAAGTCTCACACTGGATTACTGCACAGATCTGGAGGAAATACACGAAGCTCACCCAGATTCAAGGAAGAA